GAGAGAGAGAGTGAGAGACAGAGAGTGAGTGAGAGAGAGTGAGTGCGTGAGAGCATGAGAGTGAGAGTGAGAGAGAGTGAGTGTGAGTGAGAGAGTGAGTGCGTGAGAGCATGAGAGAGTGTGAGTGCGTCAGAGCATGAGTGAGAGAGAGTGAGTGAAAGTGAGAGAGTGAGTGTGAGAGAATGTGAGTGAGAGACAGTGAGAGACAGAGAGAGTGAGAGAGAGAGAGTGTGAGTGCGTGAGAGCATGAGAGAGAGAGAGTGAGAGAGAGTGAGTGAGTGAGAGAGTGAGTGAGAGAGAGAGTGAGAGACAGAGAGAGTGAGTGAGAGAGTGTGTGAGAGTGAGAGAGAGTGAGAGACAGAGAGAGTGAGAGAGAGAGAGTGTGAGTGGGTGAGAGCATGAGAGAGAGAGAGAGTGAGAGAGAGTGAGTGAGAGAGTGAGAGAGAGAATGTGAGTGAGAGAGAGAGTGAGAGACAGAGAGAGTGAGTGAGAGAGTGTGTGAGAGTGAGAGAGAGAGAGTGTGAGTGCATGAGAGAGAGAGTGAGAGAGAGTGAGTGAGTGAGAGAGTGAGTGAGTGAGAGAGAGAATGTGAGTGAGAGAGAGAGTGACAGACAGAGAGAGTGAGTGAGAGAGTGTGTGAGAGTGAGTGAGAGTGAGAGTATGTGTGGGTGTTACCTGGCGCGCAGGGGGAGGGGGGTTTGTTCAGGATGAGGGCGGCTCCTGCGGGGGAGGGGGGCTTGTTGTTTGTCGACGGGGGGGTCGGGAAGTCGGAGTGGGAGGGGTCGGAGTCGCGTTGCCGTGGCGACCGGGCACTCCAGTCGTCCGGTCCGCTGGAGGCCGCCGCCGTCGCTGAGCTGCAGGTGGCGCTGGCCTTACGGGGCTGAGAGAGACAGAAACAGGACTCTAACCACCTCTTTAATTGGATCCTCTTAATTGGATGAAGACCATGTTTCGTGGGCATACCTGTCGGGCCTGCTTCTCCTGGTCCTGGAGCCACTGCAGGTAGGACTCCCGGGCCACCTGCTCCTCGATGGCCTCGTTGGTGGCCTCCCAGTCCGTCGCCCTCTTCTTGTCCTCCAACATCTGCTGCTCGATCCACGACTCCTCCGACGTCTTGATGGCCGACTTCATCAGCGTCTGCTCCGCGTACTGAGGGGGGCAGTTACATGTATTACTGAACACAGTATTCACAGGTGTGGTATTCTGGAAGAAATCAAACAGCTGTTATTAGAGAGACTAGCGAGCGGCATGTCCAGCGGTGGTATCAGACCTACGGAGCGAACGTTTCTTATTAATGCTTATTATGTTCACACAGAAACTGTAAAGGAACAAACGCATAAACGCTCTCCAGTAGGACAGAGACTTCAGCCTCCAGCAGAGTTACGAGTGAGAACAGACACAACTAAACCAAGGGAATGAGTGTGTTGACCACATTTATGATCTATAATCTAGTAAATTTTGATCTGACAACCGATCTACTTCCTGTTTACACCGGCGCCCGCATGCCCAGTGTGCATGAACAGTCATGTGATATTCATTTACGGCTTGACGGAGCCTCAGGCGAGTTCTGTTGTCTGGTTCCAGACCTGTGACTCCTCCCACTCCACAGAGTTCTCGTCCACTGATTGGTCTGGCATCGTAACACTAAACAGCTGTTTCTCCATGAAGAAGTGACGGGGGAACTCACGATTAATCGTCAGTTAAGAGGTGTTAAAAATCTACATGTGAGTAAATATGTTGCAGCCAAATCAAATAGTTTACAGGATGTTCAGCCTTTGTTTCTATATAACACATTTAACACTCAACTTGTTTCTTTACAGGGTTTGTATGACGCTAATAAAGTAGTTTATGAATATGAGATATGAGTTCACAGATACAGGGCTCGCTCCGCTCTGACAAACACCGGCACATGTTGTCGTGGTGTTCATGGCAACGAATCACCTGTCTACGTAAAAACAACGTTAGATTCAGGCGGATACGTTGGTCTCTCGTGATTGGTTAGGTTCTGGTTCTGGTACCCCTGGTTTGAAGGCGGGCAGTCCCAGTCCGACCCCGATCGTGGCCTTGTTGGGGTTCACCACCGAGTTGTAGTGGATGTTGCGGTGGTAGCTCACTCTGATTGGCTCGTCGTTGTTCTGGTGGATGCCGTGGAACGTGTTGATTGGCTCTGTGGGAGGAAGAGGCGGGGTTAAGGGTTGGTGGAAAATGATTGGTTGACAGATCTGCATATGGTTTCCTATTGGACGATCGGACTCACCATTGCTGTCCTGGTACACCTCCACCGGTCTGTTGTACATCTCAGCCATCGCCTGCATCTCAATGTGGTTGCCGTGGCAATTGTTTTTCCTCTTCCTGTTGATGTATGTCGTGAAGTCCTCCGTCACGTAGTTGGAGAAATAGTCAGCGTTCTTCATCTGGGAGAATGAAGGAGGATGTCATGAAGACAGACAGGAGGAGACGTTTGAGGAAGAGGAGCGTGATGAAGACACACAGAAGGAGCTGAGACTCACCAGGTAGTCCATACAGTGTTTCCTGACCACTTCATGCATGTCCTGATCTCCGTACACCTGGTCAGCTGAGAAACAGAGACACACGGAGGTCACAGGTCAAACTACACACACATCCATGAAGAGACAAAACTAGACACGGAACGACCTTCAGGAGACACGGAACGACCTTCAGGCGATGCGGAACGACCTTCAGGCGACGCGGAACGACCTTCAGGCGACGCGGAACGACCTTCAGGAGACGCGGAACGACCTTCAGGAGACGCGGAACGACCTTCAGGCGACGCGGAACGACCTTCAGGAGACGCGGAACGACCTACAGTGACACGGCTGACGTTCAGGAGACACGGAACGACCTTCAGGAGACACGGAACGACTTCAGGAGACTCAAATGAAACCCCCCATTGTTTTATTCTTGTATAATCACACTGTAAAAATGTAAAAAGATGCATCATTCTGTAAAATATCAGACTAAAGTTCATCATGTTTCAGGCTGTTGTCATGTGACACTAATAAAGGAAGAAACAAAGAAAAAGAAAGAAAAGAAGCACTTTGAATAAACAGCTCTGATCTGAAAAACCACATCAAGCTTTTATTTCATAAAGACAGTTATGTGTGAAAGACATCTGCATGTTTCTGTGTGTGCAGATTGTTTTAGAATGAGGACCCTGAAGGTAGAAACATGTTAAAATAATAACGTTAGTAACATTAATAATAATGACGTGCTGTTATTGAAGCTAACTGGAATGTGTCAATGAAGACAAAGTGGATTTAAAGGAGCTGAAGTTCTCTCTTTTTACTGACTCACAAATAAACTGAACCTCTAATGCACACACACACACAGTTATGCAAATGAGCACCACTTTGGTTTGATTTCCAGCAAGTCACATGGTCCGTCACCACGGCGATTCTCAGAACCTCACCGACAACTTCCTTTTTCTCATCAGTTGTGTTTGTGGGTAAGTCAGTTAGAGAGAGAGAGAGAGAGAGAGAGAGAGAGTTAATAACAATTATTTGGTTATTCTTCTCATCTAATTATTAGAGAAAGAGAAACATTTAAATCTGTCAGTAACTGAAGTTATTGTTGATTCTTCCACTCAAAGAATAAAAACATAAGATGCGATGTAGACGAAACAAGGAGAGGAAACTAGGAGGGAAGAGGAGGATACACAGAATATATGCGTTTGGTGCTGAGAAATCCTGATAGACTTCTTTCGAATTAATAATACACACACACACACACAGCGAGCGCTCTGATTGGTCAGCCTGGGCGTTATTCTAGGAAAGGGGGCGGGGCCTGATAGAAGAGAACCGTGACCCTTCCTGTTTGTTTCAATGACGTGAATAATGTTTTTATCTGACTCTCACAGCCTATCATATCACTCTGACCACCAGCCTGCAGCCTGCAAAGCATTATGGGTACTGTGACTCACCAGATACTGACAGCTGCAAACTAAGAGACATAATCAATGAAGATCAGTTTGATTATTACTAATCAATAACTTCAGATGATCAGCTTCATAGTTTTTGGATCAGGAAGCTCGTTAACAACAAGATGTGCAAGTTATAACATTTCATCAGATTCACCTTTATTCAATATTTAGGTCAATAGAACTCTTTTTTTTTAGCAGATAATCAATATTAAAAGGATCAGTGGTCAAATGAAGCTGATCATGGACAGTTTAAAGTATTGATCAGTCCACTTTTTCTCAACCAGTGAACAGGAAGTGACCATATCTGGACTGAGGAGGAGTGACGTAGAGACGCCGTATACGTCTCTGGTAGAGACCTGTCAATCAGCGTGTAGCCCCGCCCTAAAGCATCCCCTGCTTTATGGTCTGTTTAACTCTAAATGGACCATAATGTACTAAATGAACATCATGCTGTATTGAAGAAGCCTCCTGATTGGTCCGTCAGTCAGGGAGGGCCGGACTAACCCGCTCGAAATAAACACAGAAGCAATTTAAGCCCCGCCCACACAGAAAATCACACACGACATGTTTGGACTGAAGGAGGATGACTGACGTGTACCGACACAAGTACCGACACAAGTACCGACACAAGTACCGACACA